AGAACTCCTGAGGAGTGTACTTGGGAGCGTGAGGACGAGCTTCTCTGGCAGTACCCCGAGTTTTGACCAGGTATGTTTATGATTTTGAGGTCAAAATCCTAAAAAGGTAGGGTGAATGTAAGAACCCGCACCGTTAATTAAAGTATTTAATTAATTAATTATGCAAAATTAGGAAATGATTCCATAATTGACTCTAATAATTATTAAGAGGCTTTAATAATCATGGTAAGTGATTAAGAATGCTGAAAGTCGTTATTCGGAAGAAAAGTGCAGATACCGATTCTGCTAGTCGGTATAAATGCGTACCGAAAAAGTATCCCAGAAAATTAATGTAAGTGCATGATAATTACTAGAGTGATATGTAGGACTTGTAAAACGAGTTTCAAGTCCAAATAATGAGAACTGGTGCTAGAAACCGGTACTGGCTCTGAAAAGCGCGTACCGGAAAGGTGTTCAGAAAAATATAATAAAAATATGATAAATCTTAGAAAATCATGTAGTTTCATAATCCAAAGTTTGGGATTAAAATGCTAAGCGTAGCAATTAAAGTTAATATTGTGTGTTTAATGCTTAAGTGCCTATTTATACTCATTTAAGGGCTCACAACCCTAGATAACATAAAACCAGCGTGAGTTTCTCATGGGTGGCTGACCTCCTATACTGTTCCATTGCCATATTCTCCATTTTGAGACTTTGTGATCATTTTATGCTTGTTTCTTCTTAAAACCTTCTTCCTAAACACTTGTTCTTGTTTGAGTGAGCCTTGGGAGGTTGGAAGACACCATTTTCTGAGTGACCAGCCACTGTTCTTGTCTGTTTGGGGGCTGACCTTGGTGGTTGGGTTGAGAGAAGCCTTGTCTTTGTTTTTGGTGGTCCAAGTGTTGATCTTTTGTGCTAAAGGGTCAACCTTTCTTACCATTTTCGTGCATCCTCTTGTGACAGTAGCTTGAGACTGATTGTGAGCTCCAAAGGGCAACCTTTCCTTCTGTTTTGAGCTGGGGTATGTGTACCAACCTTTAACTTGAGTTTAAATGTTTAAAAATGGTACCTTGATGCACCTAATGACTAAAAGATGATAACTTGTTGTTGGGTAATGCTTAACACACCTAGAAATGCATGATTAGGTGTTTAAAATCGGTAAAAAGGGAACCTTTAAGGGATATCTTCACGAAAATGCAGAAACTGCATTCTGTCGTGAAATATCCGGATATTTGTCGAACAGATATCCGGATATGTGATATCCGGATATGGGGTTTTGGAATATCTGGATATTGGATATCCGGATATGTGAATCTGTATATCCGGATATTGCATATCCGGATATGGACAGTGAGATATCCGGATATTGCATATCCGGATATGGTCCCGAGGAATATCCGGATATTCTGGGATTTCGCAAAACAGTAGTTGTGCTGTGTGTACAGTAGGCTATTGGGGGTTTGTAGACCCTAGATTGATGAAGTTGAACTTCTGTAATTAATGGACTAAGCCAGAATCATGTGATTAAGGGCTTGTGACTTTGTTAGAAGCTTTAAGACATAAAACGTAATGAAAAGACGTTGTCTTTAATTTGTATGCATGTGGTACATGTTATTGATTTATATTTGGTCCATATCAGATTGTGATCTGCTGTGATTGGACTTTGAGCTTGTGGAATTGGATAGCTAGCTTAAAGGTAAGCTTTCGTTTCCTCGGTTTAGCCATGTTGTGGTTCCACCATGTCCCATGGGGATATGGTATATGCATGCTGTGTTACATGCTTTTGATGTTTTGGAAATGCTGTTGAGCTATTGTATGTTAGTGCCTTGTTGATATGCATGGAGGTGTTTCACCTATACGGTAAGCCTGAGTATGTGGAACATACAAGAGGGTGAGGCTGTGGGTGAGGTGCAAGCGGTGTTCCTTGTACTACATGTAGGTATAGACGTATTCCTACATTTCTCTGGCCAGTAGATAGTGATTACACACATGCCATAGATATCTGTTGCACTAAATAGTTTTGGAACTGATAATGATATAAATGCTTTTAGAACTTATATTGCACATGTAAGTGAGCTTAGGGTGGAAGATCCTTGAGGACCCCTTGTCTTACTGAGATTTCTTGTTTAGAGATCTCACCCCACGTTTGGGGAATGCTTATTTCAGGGTCAGGTAATGTTGAGACCTCAGGCGGCAGGAGGCCGGAGCTGAGTTAGATTGCTGTTATATTATGCTGCCATGATTGGATGCTGGATTGCATGCTGCTTATATGCTTATAGCTTCAGTTTATGTTTATGGAGTTTTATGTTGAGACTGGTTGTTTTCTATGTGTATTTGGTGAGCATGCGGATTGTCCATGACACATAGTATTGTTATGTCTTGAGTATGTCTTGAGTCTTTTGGAGTTGTATTAATGTATCAGGATATTGTCCGGATTACGAGATGTAATGTCGTGATTTAGATACATACTTTATTTATATATTGAGGTATTTCAGTAGCTGTCTTATTGCAATTTACATACAGACGTTATTTTATGAAATTGTTTAAGTAATCAAGTTGGTAATTGATAATGACGTCATAATTGAAAAGAAAAAGAATATTTCGCATTTTTAATTAAGCACCGCTTAATACGATGTAATGTTAATATTCCGAGTATACACGGGGTGTTACACCGACACTCCCCGACACTTCAGCATGCATTGTAGAGACTCAAAAAAAGGTTCAAAGGTTGTGTTGCGTTGCGTTGCGTTTTTAGTTCCAATTATTAGATTCGTTGGATTATGATTACCATTTTATTGAGTTTAATATAAATATTTGGAATATTTTATATTTCTTTGCAAAATTGATGGGTATTATAAGTTTAACTTCATTTTTTGTTAAATTATTGAATATTAAATATAATATACATTACATAAATTAAAAATAATATTTAATATCAAAACGTATTCTAACGTGTCGAAATCTAACATTTTTTAAAATTAACGTGTTGGAGTATTGTGTCATATCGTGTCTCGTGTCGGTATCGGTGCTACGTAGAATCAAAAATAAATATATTGGAATAGGTTGTTAAACAAAGAGTGTATCAAATGGAAAAAATATGCGGAACTAATTTCAAATATATAGGTCAGTTAACATGTTACCCAAAACCTCACTGCAAAATTTCTTTCTCCGTCTCAAAATACTTTCAAATAAATTATTTCAAAAACAACCCAAAACTTACATAGTATCATCAAATAAATCATAAACCCACGAAAAGGGCCAACTGGTTCAGATTTAATTTATGTTTCAGAACCAATTTACATTTCAGAACCGGTTCAGTATGGGTTCAGGTTTGCAAACCCATTATAAACCGGTTTCAAACAGGTTTTAAACTTCTGATTCAGTTTAATTTTTAAATTAGTTTATAAAACAAATTTGATTCTCAAAACTAGTTAAAAAAATACAGTTTTGTTTAGTTCAATTCAATTAATTTGCATAGCAATAATTTTGACTCCTTCCTCAAATATAGGTTGTTTCCCCTTTCCGTATCCATCTCTTTCTCTATCCCTCTGTTTCTCTCATTTTTTATTTTTTTTTAGTCTTTCTTCCTTTTCTTCTTTGTTTCCACCCTAGCCGACTTTCATTATCTCTTTTTTTTTTTTTTTTTAAAAATTTTATCCTTCCAAATTTTATGGACTTAAATAGACTAAGCATAATTCAAATTATTCCAAGCTTTAAATCTAACTATTAAATTTTATGTGAGTAAGATAACTAGAATTTTTAGAATCCATCTAAGGTAACTTCTCATACTGCCTAGGGTGACATGCAGAAATAAACATAAAAACAATTTTTAACAACTTAAAGGGGTAAAAATGGAATTTAAAAATACTGGAGATAATCTATAAATACGCTAATATAATTTTGTCGTATACCAGAAAAATAAAATACAGTTGTGATCCATTAAGAAATCCTATCGTATGGTATAATCTAATAATCTATTAATATCATTAGTTATTGAAAATGAGGGTGTTACAATAAGCATGACTAAATTAACTATAGCTAATTTACATTTACCACGGTCATGCAAATCGAGCCAAATTTTTGTTACACCAAATTCAGCCATGGTTTTAATTAGATGGTAACATTTTTAGACATAATTTTTTGTAGTTAAATGCACTTTTGACCATGGGTAAACTTTACTTCGCAGTCAACGTTCTATTGGTGTTCTTGAAGGTGGATTATTCTATTGCAATTTAATTTTCTTTTGAGTGCAAAAGAATGTGATAGAATTAAAATATTAAATTGTAGGCGTTAACTCCTACGTCGATTTCTTGATTTTCTAATATTGTATTTCTTTTTTCTATCATTCAATACTACCTTAGTATGGCACGCAGCATACAGTAAACATTAAAAGCACAAGGAATAATCAAGAAAAAGTAACTTCATTTCACATTAACAAGAACAATCAACCATCTTTCATCAAAAAATAAAATAAAAGTAGAAGTTATCTTGCTACATTCACAGTGCATCAAGCTCTAAGCAGCAAGTTAATTTTAAAAAACCATCATCAGTATCAAAAAAATACAAATGAATAAGCAAGGGAAAATTCCTTCAAAACACAAGGGCAAACATATTCCCTTCGTCCTCTTGATGTTGATGGGCAAACTCAATTTTGGACAGCTCCTTTAGGTGTAAAAAGAATATTAAATACCAATCCTTGATATATATATATATATATATATATATATATATATATATATATATATAGAGGCAGGATCATTTGACACCGGTGTCATTTGAGAGCCGTTATATAAAAAAAGATCAACGACTCTGATTTATAAGCATGTGACACCATTGATCTTTTTTGATCTAACGGCTCTCAGATGAGGTGTCAAACTTCAAATTTGACACCGGTGTCAAAGGATCCTACCTCATATATATATATATATATATATATATATATATATATATATATATATATATAAAGCAGCAAAGGAAAACATGCCATGGCCCCATTTAAAAGTAAAACCGCCATAACAGCCAGGTCAGTGAATATAGGAAAGTAACAACTGACAGAAGAAAGTACATATTATCAACATGGCTTGAGATCTTTTGCAGCAGAAGGCTGAAAACAATAGAAATTACAAATGTTAAAAGTACAGAACGATGGATAGCAAAAGGAAAGGATTGCATTTGTATCACTGCACAATCCTAATCATTGGAAATCTAAACAAGCACTGCCCATTATAAACTAGATCCCTTATATCACATATACTGATATACACCTCTTGGTTGAAAAGCCCCAAAGCCAAAGAGCTCAAAGGACAAGCCAAAATGCCCAGAAACCAAGAGCAACCACATGTCCAAAAAAACCTCACCCTCTAATTTCTTGCAGCAAGTTAGGCGTGCCAGATCTATACATTCACTTTAGTTTCTTGTCATGGAATCCAGACTTATAATTTGGCCTCAACCACCTGCAGTTGTTAGTTGATTAGCACTAATAGTGATAGCAACAGAGGACACAAACCTTGAGGCAAGGACAGCTTCATTGCATACAGCCTTAGATGCAGCCACATCTTCCAATTTCTTCCAGGTCGATGCACGCTTATCCTGCTTCTCTTGCTTCTTGATTTCATCTTCTTGGAATTTCATGAAGCACTCATCAAAAAGTGCCGGATCAGCGTCCGAGAATATTTTTCTCACATTCAAGGTCAAACTCTGGACAGCTTGGTTCCAGTGCCCCTGCATATTTTTCTCCAAAGCAGGGAAGATTATAGGTAGGATCACTTTGCAGTTTTGTATGATCAAATTTCTAATATGATCATTGTTCCACAGAAACAATGCCCGTTCAGCTACCTGCCAAAAGAAGCAAGTCCACATTAAATTTCATTCAGTGAATCACAGGTGAAGTTTGAATTTGCCCGCATGCTTCCATTAGAGTTATGTTCCTCACAACATACATTTGCTTCTTTGAATCTTCCAGTTTAACTCCGGACAATAGAAATTGGTAATTAAGTATTGCATAGTAAAGCAGCTAGTAACAAAGACTACACAAACCTACAAATTCTGCAGTTATCCCAGATACGAATTTCAACTCAAAAACAACTAAGTATTAATGGAAGCAGAAGTCCAAATTTGAAGAAAAGTTGAATGATCATTTCATGTAAATCAGAGCAGTTATCAAAGTCAAATTGAATCCATAATTCATAAGGCTTAAGATAACAAGATATTCCCTGAAGTCATCGTGAAAGATAAAAACCAAGTGAAGAAGCTACATAATATTTTTTAGGGTAAATATTATAGGATATACACTTGATATTATATTTGGGAACACCACCAATGGTTGAAGGCTACCACAAAGTGAACCTTAATTCATGCAACTCTCAATTAACTGATGACAAATTGAAACTTTGAATTCTCCAATTAGCCAATAACATAGCCATTAAAGTTGGGTTAAATTAATATGGAGATCACAATACTTTCTGGAAAATTTTAAATAGGTCCTGATAGTTAAATTTCGTACCAGTCACTGTAATTTCAAATAATTCTCTAATGGGGTCCCTAAATTTGCCCCACAATTAGAGCGCTCTACCAAACTGGAAAAAAATTGAAACTATAGGAACCTAATTATAAATTTCAAACTGTAGGGAACTATTTGAATATTTCCAAAAAGTACAGGGACTTAAAGAATAATTTAACCTTCAATTTATACTCAATTGCTAAAAGCAGAGCATTTGGATTGCATTATTTAAAAGAAAATGAAGATCATCCAATCATATTTAGATTTTCATCATTCAGATAAATATTAGGCAAACAAGCTTGACAATTTAAGAAATTACAAACCATGTCCCCTACAAAATAAAATAAAAAAATCATGATGTGTTCATACCCAAAATTGGCCTCAGATCCTTATAAATTTCTATAATTGAGGAATTATTCATTATTTAAAAAAAGAAAAAGAATAAGAATGAGAAGGCAAGCTATTCTCCTTGAAAGTGAAAAAAACTTCACAAAAACATAAAAAAGGAAGACTATAAAGGAAAAAATGTTATTTCAGAAGAGTTATTTGATTACTTTCCAAGCTCAATAATGAATGTACCCCACCTCACCCCAAAAATTAAAGAAAAAAATAGACTATCCCATATAATTTCACTGCTGTATACCATGACACAACACAGCTCACCTCCAAAGTGCCTCATTCCAAAACCCTTAAAACAAGGAGACCGGAATAGTTTAAAATAAGGCCAATGTACTCAATGCCTTTCACTGAACAAAAATGATAGATAAGCAACTTCAGAGCAGTTAAGCAACTTCACAATGTAAGAAAAGAAGACTGCTTTTTTTATAAACTTCAAAAGCAAATGAAAGCAAATCAAAAGAAAGACTCAAAGTAACAGGTCATTTGTGTTAACTTTATGTAGCACTGCTGTCAATACAAAAGCCCTCAGCTTAGATGGTGCTTTAACCTTCCAAAGAGAAAAGGAGAGTTTATGAAAGCGAAGCTCAAGTGGTTGGGTTCTCTTTCAAATTCTGGAATAAATTTGTCCAGATAGAGGAGCCACAGGAAACTAAGTATCACCCCCTTTTATCAAGAAAGTTTGACAAATGGAAGAATTAATGTTGCTGACCAAGTTCTGGTAAAGTCCAGTTGCATGATCGCTATGCTTTCTTTCAACTAATGATACTGAACTGTTAATTTAAGAATCTGTGAAACTTCTTTCCTCTTCAGTTTGTGGGATAAAGTTACTTCCATACATGTGATGCAAAGGAACCCTACGTATGACTGTTTAGATTTTCCTTATCTGATATAGTATTTATAACTTTAACACTTAACCCATATCAGATATAAAATTTCTTCAGTCAAAACTAATATGATATTTAACGAATTTGCCCTAGAAATAATAAAAACAGAAAAACTCCTTTCACAGGCACTTTTATCACCTAGACAAACTACCTACTAGATGCTTAAAATTATCCTATTTCTTCTGAGCCTTTCATTCCCAGTACATTCAATTTTCGTTTAAACCACCTGGTTTCCCTGCTGTTAATTCATCCAAAATCCTTACCAAGCCTATTAAACAAATCTTCCTTTCTACATTGTCCGATTTCCGTTTGGCTATCATGACTCAAACACATGAGAAAAATAAAATGAAATGGTAGCTGAGTAATATTCAAACATTAGAGAACGACAATGTCCACAAGTGCCATACTCTATTTATGAAATAAAGTCTATCCATGAAATAAAGTGATATTCATTTTAATTTTTAATCACAGCTTGTGGTTGCAAGCCACGAAGGATTAGGAAAAATTGTTGAAATGAACAAATTTTTAAAATGCATACCAGCAATTATACCTCAGGCTTAAATTTATATATAAGTAATATTTTTTTGGGATAAAAATAGAGTAATGTTAAAAATGTAACAAATCTTTCAACAAAACTATTCTGAAAATCAGAATAAGGGCCCATTTGTTTGTGCTTTTTTTAAGGGAAAGCACTTTTTTTAATTAGAAATGTCTAAAAAGTTTTAAGTTAATCAGATAAGTTTTTATAAAAAGTTAAAACCTAAAAGTGATTGTAGTGCTTTCCTCATAATTTAAAAAGAGTGAGTTGTGAAAAAAAGTTATAAAAGAGAAGCTATATCATAAAAGTGCTTTTTTTGAAAAGCTTATCCACATTTACCCTGAATCAAAACACAGAACTTTCTAGATAATTCCTCTTAAAATTTCATCAAGAATAAACATAGCTTTATAATTTCCACCAATATGTGAGGCAAAATTCATATATTTAGCTTGAAAATCCAAACATAAAAATGGCTCAAGTGAACCAGAAGCTAATCATAGTAGTCAATGGCAGATCATTGCACCGAGAAGCAAGCTCCAAATGCTATAGTGGTATAGCATATTGTTTAGCAGCAACTATAATGAAGAATAAAAATACAGAAAAATTTATAAAACACATAACTAATAATCCAAATAGTTTTAAAATTTTATAGAAAAAATAAATAAATAATAAACAAAATTCGAATACTCAAATTTGAGAAGCATTCATCATTCATCTTAGCCTAAGTGCTGTTAAAAAAAAAAAACTTAAAACATAAAAGTACCAGTAACAAGCATAAAAAAATAAGCAGATTAAGGAGGACAGTGCTTCAATCTGATAAGAACCTTGGGATACACTACCTAAAAAGCTAGCTCAAAAGGTAGAAGTGCACAAGGCTTTATAAACCCCACATTAATTACCCATACAACCAATGTTGGACTCCAAGTCCAATACCTTGCAAATGGGTCCTAACATTCCACCACGCTCCACAGCCCTGGCGCCCATGTGGGCTGGCTTTGCGCTAGTCTTTTACTAGCTTTGGGCGAACATTGCAATGCCAGTGTCACTAGCCGTGCCGCTTGATTACAACTGGGAGACATAGTTGAAGACTATGATACCATTTGATAAGAACCTTGGGATGCACCACCCAAAAGCTAGTTCAAAGGGTGGGAGTGCCCAAGGCCTTATAAACCCCACATTAGTTGCCCATACAACCAATGTGGGACTTCAAACACAATCACAAAAAAGATAAAAGGTAAGTGACGAAATTACCATAAAAAAAGGAAAATGAAGTCTTTTTATTTTGGGCCAGTAATATCTTTGCATTTCTGAATCAGTTTTCTTTTTAGAAACAAAACAACACATTTGCACAAGACGCAGAGCTGGGTATTGGGGACAACAAACAGAATGGAGGAAGAAGCTTCTGCAAAAGAGAGCTGCACAGCCATGCATGTGGAGCCAGTTCCAGCAATCAGACTTTGGATTCCGGCCAGATGGATGGTGGGTTCTCCTATCTAGGAGCTACGGGGACTAAAAGAAGCCTGATAGGTGGAATCAGACCAGATTTAACCCTCTGCCTGCAGATGGATCTCTGTGATTGTCTTTGTAAGCATTGCAACTGTATTCCCAGCCACAACTGGCACTACTTAAAAACACAATGCAATATGCTTTTCGGAGCAGCTGCACCCACTCTGCCACACCTCAATGTGATTGCAACATGGTTTGCTGCTGTTGACCACTACGCTGCTAATACATTTTTTTCTTTTTGAGTATAAAATACCACAACATCATCTTGTGCTTTGAGGGTAATGGAAATGATGAAATCATAATAAAGAAATTTTAACAGCAAAGTCAACAATTGAATATGTATGGAAATATCATATCCATGGTTTAAATTGTAGTTGTGGTCATCTTTGTGGTTAAGTCGCAATTACAAAGATTGTGGACAATTGCAGGAAAATGCAGGTGATGTTAGGCTGCAATTGTGGCTGTGTACCACAAATTAAACCCTTTAATACCCATTAGGGTTAGCTCATAGAAAATTAGTCAATGCAATACATTTTTGTTCAGGAGGTAATAATTTAATGTATATTCAAACAACAAGCAATGCCATAATCACTGATCTGTAAGTTTATCATCAACGGTTAACCCACAGAAGAAGTCAAATTCATATGCAAAATGTGAGATAAAGGAAAAGAAAAAAGAACAAGACATACCAAGCACCACATGAAATTGTCAAAACAATCTCATTCCCAGAAAAATGGAAAAATCCAGCAAATTTTCCAGACTCAAGATAGGTAAGAGATGGGGTAAGGTAAAGGAACATCAGACAGAAATAGAGATCACTGTTGTTGACTAATGCTGATGAAATGCATGCAGATATCACAAACAAAAAAGGAAATGAGGAAACTCTGTACGTACCTGAAAGTGTAAACTGTTGAGACATCTACCAATTTGACGAAACAAAGGGACCACACATCGCTGAAATTCTGCTGCTTGAGTTGCTTCTATAACTTCCTCCAATTCACCAAGGAACATTACCTCCTTTGAACTATTAGTTAATGGCCAATATTTCAAAAGGCCTCTAATCACAGTATCAGCTAGCTTGACATCTTTTTCAACGAACTGTAAAATACAATAAGAAAGCTGTTGATGATACATAGAGACACACTTCGGCTTGTGAAGGGGGACCAGTGCACGGACAAGAAACAGTTTATGCTCTTCCTTCAAAGGCAAAGCAAATCCATTAATTATGCTTCCCAATATCTCCAGCAACTCTGCAATTCCATTGTGTTTCTCTGTCTCATATATGAACCGGTAAAAGATATTGTTGATAGCTTTTCTAATGAATGGCCGATGTACCATGAACTTTCCATAAATACGGTGGAGAATAGTCTTCAAGTACTCCCTCTCTCTTTGGTCCTCAGACTTAAAGAGGTCAAGCAGCCTCAGCACAAATGAATGATCAATGTATCTTTTAGCAAGCTTACCGTCTGTCTCTGATGAAGCCACAAACCTGTAGAGAATTTCATACACAATCTGCAGATGACTCCATGCTGGTTCCAAAGTGGGTTCCTCTTCTTCAAGCTCATATGTTTCTGCAACCTTACCATCATGATTACAAGAAGGTAGAGTTCGAAATAAATTAGCAGCAACCATCTTCGTGATCTCCTGCATTGTTACTTCATTGAACTTCGAATTCACAGATGAAACATAATCAACAAGCTCAAGCAAAGTTTGCCTCTTGATGTCCTTCTCTTTGAGATGCTTGGCAGGATCATTAAAATCAAATACAACACAACACATACTTAACTTCCTGATAAAAAGATTCGGCTTTTCCGAGCTAGGAACATCCCGGAAACTCGGCAAAGCCTCATAAACTCCTGGAGCCATCATGGGAACAACTTGGGATGCAATTGCAGGAGCTGATTTCTTAGCTTGGTTCGTTTTACTTGAACTAGTTGAGAATGGTGCAAGAGTCCCATTCCCAGTATGCGATCCAGAATTTGAAGATTTTGAAGAAGTTGAATTGGATTTCAAGGAGCCATTGGAATTGAGCCCATAAGATGAGTTTAATGACGAACCACCATTGACCACCCCTCCATCACCGTTCGAATCACTTTGTGATGATTTTGAAGGCTTGCGAGGTATTTTACCAAGTATCTGTTTTATCATATCTATAACACCCAAACCCAGAAAAATCCCAACCCCAATTTTCTACAAAAAAATCAAAGTTTCAACCTTAAAACTGCGTGCAATTAATAACATTACTACAATTTAACGAATAAAACACATATAAAGGTCATTTACAACTTCGTAATCATACCCAAATACCCTAATTAGAAAACCCATATCTCAAAACTATCACTGAAAATCATACTCACAAGTTCCCAGAATCTGAACACACACAAAAAAGTGATGATTCCCGTTGCATGAAGCAGGATTTTAACAAATTGATAGCATAAACAGGAGAAAAGTACTTATTTTGAGAGTGAGATAGAGAGTACCTCAAGAGGGGCAAGAAAATGCAAGGAAATCAGAGAGAGTGAAGTGGGAAATTTAGGCACTGACCCATAAACCCTAGTGAGACAAAGGGTTAATGAGCCCAATTAGAATTTGTGTGTTTTTTTTGGGTAAACAGAGAACACAAGAAGGGAAAAAACATAAGGAGAATATGAAAATATGCAAGGTTGTAATGGATTTCACAAAAAGCATAGGTTTTTTATTTTTTTTATTTAAAGGGTGGGGTTTGAGGTTAATGACATTTATGTCCCACTTTTTCTAATTTTGAAAAATGAAATATCATCTTTGTTTAATGTGAGGACCAAGTATTTGGTGGTTATTGGGACCCAAATATCATCATTAAAAAGGTTCCGAGGATGGGAACAGCACTGTGTAATTCTTGTGGATGCAATGGGTTTGGGTTGAGTGAGACTTGTTAATAGAGTCCATTCTCATCATCTTAGAGTCACTCACCCTCTCATGAGTCTCATGTTTCAACCTTGAGGATATTCTTGTCATTTTGAATTTTGTGGTCTATTTTTGTTTTGGGTTCAAATATTATGTAATAATGCTTCCGCTATATTTACTCACATTTACTATTTCACATTATTTTGATTAATTTATTACTAAAATTATTTAAATAATAATTTATACATTTTTTTTTGGTAAACTAATTTATACATATTTAATCACTCAAATATTTATATTTTTTATATTATTCATCGGTTTATTAATTATTTATTGTCCGGATGTTTTTGTTTTCTTTTTCTTTTAAAGTACTGTTCTGATATAATTTTATTAGGTTTTTTTTTAGAAGTTGTCTTTTCTATTTTTTGATAAGTTTAATTTAAAAAAAAATCTAATTATGATAAAAAATTTAAACAAGTATCAAATTTTTTTTTCTTACAAAAGTACAGACAAATGTGCTTTTAATCATAATTTCAACCACAATTTCTTTTAAATTAAGATCATGTGTAAATGAAGGTTAAATAAGTTTAATACTTGGCCTGTTGGCCAAGCAAAATACTTTTTGACTTCAATGGTCTAATTAAAAGAAAAATAAAAAATAAATATGACGACTTGTGTAGAATATTTATCGAAGGAACACTGAACAAACTACCACATAGCAACACTTAATAAACACATTCGGACCGCATGACTCAAGCATGCTATAGTGTATGCTACAACGAGAAAGCATAGTGATCATCCTACCGATATTTCACTCCCTCATTTATCCATATTCCCTCCCTTTATGTAAATATTAATTGCATTATAAGTATTAATTAGTGTATTATAAATAGAATAGTAAATAAAGCCATTATCATTAATTGTCAAATGATATTACATTTATTAAGTCAAATAATAATTAATATCGTAAATAATTTTCTGTTACTTGGCATTATCTCTTGGAATTTTTGTAAATGTAAAAATTTCAAATTTATTATTAATAATAATAATTCAATAATTATTTTTTCTTGTTCTTTCCCTTTCTTCCAGACAAAAAAGAATTATTTATGTATTAATTATTATTTAACTTACTAAATTTAATATTAATTTATAAAAAAATAATAGTTGTTGTAACAACCCAAAAAAGTTAAAGATAAAAATATAGGAGTGGCCACTCGCCACAAAAAATTGGAAAATTATTTTTTGGGAAAAATTGGTCTTTTTGAAAAATTTAAACTATGGTTCGGGAGTCTGGTTATACATACAGAATGGTGAAAACTCAATCTCACTGCACCCCTTGATATATCCATTTTAATGATAACCTTAATTTAATTGTGCGCATTATCAATAATTTCAAAATTATTTTCCTTTTTCCTAAAGAAGTGAATATGTAAAAAAAAAATTGAACTTTTTTATTTTTTATTATTTTTAAAAAAAAATAAAGGGAATAACAAATGAGACAAAACGAATTGATAGATTGAATTTACTATTTTTATTTAAATAAAATAAAATAATTAAATTGTTGACTCATGATTTGAAAAATGAATTATAAAAATAGACTTTGAATCTAAAAGTTTTATTTTTATTTATTATTATTATTTTTATTATTTTTTGCAAAAATGCAAAGTCTAAGGCAGCATTGCTACACGAAGACCTTTGCGATGATACAACGCTTGAGGATAACGCGCACACAACAACGTTGTATATCCTACTTTTGAGACAAGACAAAATTTAATTCTTCATTACAAATAAAGTGCATGAATAATAATAAAAGAACACCTTCTAATTATTCATAATGTGCAACATGAATCCAAAACTACACTTCATAGCATCACCTCACATGACTCTTATTTTTTAAAATTAAATTAGATCCATACTTTATCTTTATTTCTTCAAGTATCAGCGTTGCAAAAAGAAAAAATATAAAACTCTCAAGAAAGCATGGGTCAAGAATCAATAGCATGCAGTAACTTGTAAAATCTAGTACATGAGCTTTCATGTGATGGCTTGTAGGCCTGGGGAATAGCTTGATCATATGAGTATTCTTGTAAAGACGTGTTAGCTTGGGGAATGACCTAGTTGCATAGGTATTCCTGTGATGGCGTGTTCGCTTAGGGAATGACCTGGTCATATATACATTCTTGTGATGGCGTGACAACCTGGGGACAGCTTGATTGAGCAATCCTATGACGGCCGATGGCTTGGGGATTTGCTTGGTGAGGATTGTGACGATATTGTTATACTTGCATGTATAGTAAATTGAATATGAATTGATTGATTGAGTTTATTGGCCATAAGGTTAAAGTATGGAATATACCTAGAGGGGATGTATCCGAAGATGTTGCTTCTTAGGAGTTCCATTTGGACACTCATTGGATGTGTGACTCCTAGAGTGGTCCTTGTGTATGAGGTGCACGGAAGGCAAGTATGCTTGATCGTTCTTTGGCCAATAATCCATGGCATGGGCTTCCCTTGGGGATAATACCCTAAGAGGTGTGGCTTTTGAAAATCTCATGTTGACACTGCTTTGAGTTATGACTCATCGAGTGGTCTTGGTATACTTAGTGCACGTATCAATCAATTCTACTTTATTTCATGGTATGATGCTTATAGACAAGATATTATTAGTCTTTTCAATTTCAGTATATACTCTACAACCACCAAGAGGTGGAATGAGTAAGAAAAAAAATATGAGATAACATGCTTTGAATTGGCATAGAGTTGTACAATCCGAGATTGGGCAATGAGTTAGAAACATGGAATAGTGTAATGGAAGTACATGTTCCTTGCACCTATGTTTGCATGAGATTGCATGATACATGTGTATATGTCGTGTCTGTTGTTTAAAAAGGTGAGATACTCTAGTTAAAGCATAAAAGGTGAGATACCTTGTGCTAATGCATAATTGTGATTATGCTTTGCCTGAAACACAAGAGGTGTCATCTTTTGCATATGAGTGGGAAACATTTTCTAGTCAGGTCAGTTAGAGAATATGGGGCTTCTTCAAGGAAATAGTTCCTAAGAGTGGTGACTCTTGGAAGCACCCATGTGAACCCTTCTTAAAAGAAATGATTTCTTTGAGTGTAACGTATAGTGGAGTTGTGATAGAGAAATGGTTTTCCTGACTAGGAGCATATGTAAAATCCTTAATTAAGGTATAAGACTTCCTTGGAGGTATGATCCTCAAAAGCACTCATTTGTTGTGTGCTCACCAAGAGTGGTGATACTGACTATCTGTTCACCGATAGTGGTTTTTTTATGAGTGTTCACCAAGAATAGTGATGTGATTTATGCCTTCATTGTATGTGATGAGGTGTGTTTAGTTCTCATTCTATGTGAAGTTATTGGTACCTTCACTTTGTGATGATGAAGGAGGTCTGATTATTTGATCTGTATTTTGCTCGAGGCAAAATGTGAAAGGTCTACTTTTCGAGTAGAGTGACTTGAAGAGTATGTTTAGTGGGTTAATAACTATTATGAGCAAGTATGTTTTTTGGGATACAACAAGAGAAATATTGTATAGAAGCCCTTTGTATGACCATGTTATCCCACAATTAGTGTTCATCTTTGAGTATGAGATGTATGTGCTAGGCACAAAGTGAGGTTAAGTATGGCATTGGCTAGCATGCTAAATAAGGACAAAAGAGGATATTTATATTATATGTCTGAGGGACTGTATGAGAGCTTTTGAGGTTGTTGTGTTATATAACACTAGAGTTGCAAAGTAAGTTGTGAAACCCATTTGTTACCAGTGCATAAAGCGTGATAAAAGTGAAATGTATTATGAAATTTATTCACCAGTGTATTTTGGTGATTACGATGATATCTAAATCCATGAGGTTACATTGATCATAGGTACAAAAAAGGTGCCATGTGTCTAAAGGATTATGTAAGTTGATTCATAGACAGGTGAATGTGTTACTTAGGGAACAATGGATATTGTGGTTCTAAATTGTAGCTCATATGATATGAGAATGACCGTGGAAGGTTAATGTTTGGTAAAATACATAATAATTGTATGTGGCATTGTGATGCCAATGATGGAGGGTAGGTACAGGCATGAGTCTAAATATGTGCTTGTTTTGTATCGATTACAAAGGTGGAACCATTTGTTTTTGGATTTAGAATATAGGGTTGAATACGTGTATTTATGGTAAATTGCTAGAGGCAGATGAAAGGATGATTCCTTATTGAGAATTGTTCTAAGGTGAGTTATAAATGTGTGGTTATGTTGGTAAGCTAGTGCCAATTGAGTCGTTAAATACCAAAATGGTATTTGACATGGACTAGTCATTTAGAAACTTTGATTGTATATCAAAATAAGTCTAGGTGATTAATGGTACCCTAATGGGTTCATAAAGGCAAGAGTTTTAGAATTCTCAAGATTAGAACTCAATTGAGAGGAAACATTGATGATAATATCTCAGAGTGTGATATGTACTAGAAAGGAAGTGATTGAATATCAAAAACCTTATAGTAGGATGGCCTTTGAACTAGGAAAGTTATGATCATATGTCGTTCATTGTTGATAGGCTAATTAGGTTAGCACACTTCTTAAGGAAGTTGAATGCTCTATGGGTAAGTTAACTCGACTGGTGAGAATGAATTGGTCAAACAGAGTAAACCTTCAGTTGCTGAAGGATATTTCAAGAGTTTACACCTTGTACAAGGTGTTGAGTGACAAAAGAAATTACCTTGAGTGTCCACTTGGGAACAGGATGATGAAT